GATTCATTGCACTTAAAACTATAAGTTTCAAAAGTGTATATATCTGTTATTATTTGATAACCTTTTAAATAAATTGTAAAAATAATCGGAATGAAGGAAGAGAGAAATTTCCTTATAAGTTTGTCGAAAGTACTGAGTATTTTCTATTTAATTACGATGGTGATCTTTCATTTTTAAATGTTTTAGGGTAATAAGTAGTGGTTATTAATAATTTATTAAAGATTAAATTGATGCAGGTGAGAAGAATAAAAAATATTCCAATTTCTTTTCAATAACGGTGCCCCCTGCTGGATTCATCTTAAGGAAAACGTCTCTGCTGAAGTTGTACTCAGCCTGAAATTTCACTTGCGAATGTGCTTACATTCTGCTATGAATCACAGGGTGGAAATAGACGCTCCATTTAGCCTCTTCCTATTTGGCCATTGGCTCGGGGGTGCCATAACCATAGTGGAAAACACGGGCCATCTTCTCCGGGCAATTCGGCCAAGTTGCGTCAATTCAATTTTCGCAAAACTTTTATGACTCTTTTTAATCTAACAGAGATAGCATTATCTTCGCCCGTTTGACTTTGCTTGCCTGTTACACAACCGCGATAAACAACGATGGGTTCATTTTTTTTTTTTTAATTTTATTATTTAAGAGAGAGAAAGAGAAAAAATGGAATTTTATATCTTCTCATCCCACAAACCTAATATGTAAGACATTTCGTAATAACACTTGTTATCCAACGACACTCTGAATTTAGAAAACCGAAAAAAAATACGTTGAATTTATGAACAGTGCTGTCTTTTCGCACACATTCCAGTAAACCAATGCTGTCATTTTTGACTAATGGTCTAGCAGTACATACACATAATAGAGATTATATTCTCAGACAAGCAAAAATGGGGTAAAAAACTAAGCCATAGATGACTTAAACAATACTTTAGAAAACAAAAACCACGATAAATTAATATACTATTGGGTAAACCCGATAAACATATAACCTATAGAAGAAACTGCAATGACCTTCGACATTAACTTGACAAAAATTGAAAAATTTGAAATGAACCCAATAAAATGGAACAATCTAAACTTTGCTAACGGTATAAATTTAGATTGTAAAAAGATTCATCGTTGTTGACATTGTTATAAGATTTTTTTTTGCTTATTTAAGAATGTATTAAAAATGCAAATGAAGAATTTGTCGGATTCATGAGGTGCGAAGAATGAGGTAATTTAGAAAAATACCTTTTTCGTTTTTTGCCTACGTTACGACCTTTATTCGGGTCATCTTCGACGCATAAAGTATGGTGCTATTCTTGTGGTGTGTGAAATTGTCACGAACTTCACATCAATTTCATACATCACCACAAGAATAGCACCACACTTGATACCTTGAAGATGACCCGAATAAAGTTCGAAACGTCGGCAAAAAAATGAAAAAGATATTTTTCTAAATTACCTCAGTCTTCATTGCTTCTCATGAATCCGACAAATTATTAAAATACCGGTCACTAAAAAACACACAAATGTAAATAAAGGTTAAATTAAAAAAACCTTTCTATTTTCAGTATTTTATCATCATTGATTAAAAATATTTAATGACCTTATTCCTTAGATTATTATTTTATGACGTCACAGTAGGACTGCGCACTCTTCATAAAACAAAAATAATTATGGACAGACTTACTTGGACTATTCCTACTATTATTTATTACTAATTCACCTTAAAAAATAAAAATAAAATAATAAAAAATCTCGTCTATATTGCTAAATGTGCGTGGAAATTGCTGTTTTAAAATCAAATACATTTGTCAATTTCAAGTTCAAATTTAAAAAAATGATTAATTATAGAAAAAGGATTGTATTTTAGTATAATACTGCCGTCATTAATCATACTTTGAACAAAGTTGACAAACAAAAGTTGTATGCACTTTTCACAGTTTTCCTATGAACATTATTGAAAACACCTCCTGTTAAATGTTAAAAATGACTTGCAAGATTTTAATGACTACAGGCTAGGATGATTTTATTTAACGACTTGCTAGTACTGTCATTCGAGCTGAAATGATTAATACTGAACTTTTTTTTTAATATCTGCATTTTGTTAATTAAAAAAAAATTATGTGCACAGATGCAAACCAGGTGTCTTTTAGTTACAGACATCTGGTTAAATTTAAGAAAAAATCAAAAATAAGTTTGGTATAATAAAATTTTAAACAAGTGGCAATAAATTTGAACAATAAAGAAACAAAACGTATTTAGGTCAATTGACCGTTCAAGCAATATTGGACAGAGTAAGAGATTCGGAATTTAATCTTTGAACTTAACGCCATTATCAATTATCGACTGTTTTTGTTTGTTTTATAAAATATATATTTTGTTTGTTCAAACCCGATTGAAATTGGCCGATTGTAGATTGCGATGGTAGGTCACCCTGGCCCACAGACTCGGTTTGAAAGTAAACAAACCAACTAGTTTCGGAAGGGCCAATTGAAATTGTTGCTTCTTAACAAAGATTGATGTTCTCTACAAAATAATATCGTATAAATTTAATCAGGGGGGGGGACGTAGTCCCACCGTCTGTGAGCCAAGTATGCACACCGGGCCGAAAAGTTAGGGCAAACTGGAAGGTAAATATTTAATATTTACAAATGGCAAGTTTATTTTTTTTCTCTGCTCTGTAAATTAAAGAAATATTTCTTCTGTAGATTTCCTTTTAAGGATAAACTATATAAATCCAATAGTTAAATTTTATAGACCAAACAATTATTTGCATCTCATTCAAACAGACTTCGAATATATTTGTAATCCACTTTCTTAGTTGGCTGAAATAAAAATCTATTAAAAATGCATTCGAAGCAATTACTAAAAGTAAAAAATTTGTCCATTTTAAGTCGTTTTCTAGTACAAAATTGCTATGAACTCCTAGATTATCCTGGAAAATTGAAATTTAACAAAATTTTAAACGATATTCGATAGATTAATGTTAATTTTTTTAAATAAAAATAGAAATTACTATTTGAAACATTATTTTCGTAATCAGCTATAAAACAAATCAATAATTGTATAAACCGAAAGAAAATATAGGTTGCATATAGGTTGATTGTAAAACTTATGTTTAAAAAATATATTTTTTAGTAGTTTTAAGTAGTTAAGTACTATTTACATTTCACTCTACCCTTTCGGGAACATTTATTTATTTTTGATATCCTAAATTTTTTTTATAGTAATAACTCGAATTCAATCTATGAGAGTTACGTTTTGTCCTTTCAGAAATGTCAAAGTTTAGCATAACCCAAACAGTAGTCAATAATGTGGAAAAATATTTGTCGGGCGGTCTCTAGGTTGTTGAACATTTGCCAACGAGCAGTTTGCATCTCGCTAATTTTATGAAAACAGATATAGTTTACAATTATTAATTGAAATTATAACTATTTCCATCCAGATGCTGACTGGAACTACGGTTTGAGGGTATGTTCTGTCCTTACTGAAGTACGATGAAGTATGATAAGTGCTGTTTGTAGAGTTTTGCCTATTATATTTTGTATGGGGTTGTAGATCAAGGTTGAACTTTTTTTTAAACAATGGTGGTTTTATAAAATGTTTTATTTATGTATTTAAGCCTTTTTTTAAGACTAATCATAAGCTGATGTGTGAAGAGTGATCGGATATCTATTTTGTTAATGATTATGAAGGTTATAATTTGAAATTTTGTTGTTGTTAGTAAGGCCCGGCTACTCCGCTGAGGATTTTAATTCATGGGTGATCTTCGTCAATGGGGTTGGTTGTAACGTTTGTAATTGTTCGCTCGAGTGACTCTGTCATAGATTTAAGGGTGCCGGATGTCAACAGAGGCGAAGGGTGACGGATGCTAATCGCTACTTACCGTTGCCTCGGGGGTCGGGTTGAAACTGAAAGTTGTGGCAGCCCTCAGATATCTGACCTATTTAAGGGTTGGTAACGCCCTAGCCGGGGAGCCGCCCCCTCGCGCATGCCCGACCCATTTCACCCAGCTGATCCCAGCGCACGCTACCCCAATTTTGAGTCGGCCGAACTGGGTACGGGGACCGCCGAGGGACAGGGCTCTCTTGCCATCAGCCTTGACTCGTCCTACAGGAAATTCGCAATTGCACTGAATAATGAGACAATTTTCGTTTGTGTGAATGATGAAGCTTGAAACTTGACTACTTCAGCGAAAGGAGGTTGGACTTAACATCTCATATACCACAAGTACTTATCGATAAACCACCTCGCAAAACCGCAAATAATAAACAAGTATATACACAATTGCAAAATAGAAAAACTGAACTCATGTTAAATTATCATCGAACAAAATCAAAGTTCGTTATTCTAATAAATAAATAACGTCCTGACATACTAAAAGAAACAAAATTTGGCTAAGTTATACTTGAAACCGAGACTTTATTTTCCATCACGTCATCCAATAAAAAATAATTATCATCACTTAATACTTTTTTGTGCACGAAAACTTTTACACTGCTATAATAATTGGAGATATTATGTCTAATCTCAGCATACGCCTATTATTTGAGAATAATTTTTAAAAAAAATCGTTAAGTTATCAGACACCCTTCGTCTACGATACCCCAGTAGTTGAACGTTATGCCCTAGTTTATGTGAGGAATTACTTTATTTTTGATATGCTATTGAAAATTTTATGGGTTAATTGTGCTTCATTTTTTCCACATCGCTACTTCTAATCAGGAAGATAATTGAGACGTTCAATATATTTTTATATTAAAACCATGATTATCACTTTAATGCCGACCTCTTTGTTACACCGATTGTTTGAATTACGTCAGTTTTCTGTCTTCTGCACGCAGATTCGCAAAAAGATTTTTTTTCAAATTTTGCACACAAATTTTGCAAGTACTTCAAAATTAATACGGGCCTATTTGTAATTTAATATTTGATTTGAAAAAAATGCATATAAATATCGTAAATGGTTGTTTTTATTAAAAAATAAATAAATAAATATATAACACTGTACTTACCGAGACAAGTTTTATGTTGATCCAAAAAATAGATATCGCTTAAAATAATATTAAAAAAATAACGTAACACCACGTAAAAGCTATCGGGATTGAACTAATTATAAAAGTAGAAAAGTAAAAAATAAATTAATTAATAACTTCGACTGTTTTTGTTTTTTGTATGTTGAAGAATTGCAGCGAGGGGGAACTCGTGTACGCAACGGGCGGTTGGCAAGGTAACTCTGAGGACGATCCGGCCTGGTGGGGCGTTTTATAGGAGCCTGGTTCCGTGACGTCAAGTTGCCTAGCGACATGACGTCATTCCACCCCCGCCACTGACGTCACACCTTGCCATGCTCAATACCTACCCTCTTGACACAGTGCCACCCCCGCCCGGGCGGAACCACCCCACGGGGGGTCGTTAACGGCTTGATTAAAATTGAAACGACGGGCCGCTCCTACGGAAACTGGCGATCCTACGCTATTTGGCTGCACGGGAAAACGTAAATAAGTAAAAAGTGGATACTTTTTGAAACAATTGCATCAATAACATCCATTGATTGGACAGTCGGCCATTGACACGAATGGCTAAATGGGGATCAACAATTTCGAAAGACGAACATTTTTCTTTTAAATTTATTACCCAAACGTCACGGTCTCCATTGACGTAACCTAATTTGAATACGCGTACCTAAATTTGTTCGCACTTTTCCACGAATAGCCTTATTTATTATTCTTCACGCTCAAAATCTACATCCAGGCTAGAATAAATAAAAACTATAAATTATTTCTGAAAAATAAAGAAACTTTACCGATTTATATAAATTTGCGTGCTCTATTAGTCCTAGCAAATTACAAAAACGTCATTAACGATTTACTATTTTTAGAAAAATAATTTTTTTCATAATTCGTCGTCATATGTCCCACATTTCATGCTGCGTTCTTCGAATATCTGTGTTTAATGCAACTATACCCATTTCTACTTAAAAGATTGGAACAGTAACGTCATTGATGACCTTTTTATGTATAATCACTAGATTAGGATAAATGAAAGAAAAAAGAGGGTACATAAATATATAATAGTTTTTTATATATTTGTAATTATACTTCAATTATAATATTTTAAATCGATAACCAACAATGATAATTTGGAAGGTATTGATTTTCAAAATTATTTATTTACTGTCCACATACACGTATATATATATATATATATATATATATATTGTCTTACAACTTAAATGTTGGGGAAACTGGACAACAACTTTTCAACTTTTTACAATTTGTTTTACGAGTGAAGCTGTATGCGGCTGCCGCATACGTTAGCACTGGTCTTAAGTACTTTGTACAATAATATTTTATTATCAACAGTGTCGAATTTCTATTTAATAAAAGAAATAGTTGAACTATTAGTCCTTTACATTGATTTACTATCCATTTTCGTTTTAGTGGTCAATTGGCCAAGTTACTTTTTTTAATTAATTATCTTTTTTATGTAAGGGCTTGGTTGAGATAAAAAAGTCAGTGTCACGAGCGGGATTCGAACCCACGATCTTCGGTTAAATATGCCGCTGCTCTACCACTTGAGCTATCCTCTCGGAACCAACTCTCCATCCCAGCCTACAACCGTTCGAATATTCCCTCTTTTTGCCATTTTCAATTATTCAATTATTTACTATGTCATGATATGCGGTGTGAAGTTTGTTTTTTTTGTTTTTCTGTCTACAGTTATCTTGAAGTATTTCCACTCTGTTTCGGTTGTCTATTATTAGTTGGTGATGTAGTGCAGGTCGTCTTTTGGTGAACACAATTGCCTGTGTTTTGTCCATATTGATTTGTGGAAATATTTTAGTAATCTATGAAGAGTCAGTGTCAGTCCATTTACTATGGCGTCTATTCTCCACGATGATACATACAGAGCTGTGTCATCAGCGGGCGATGATAACAGAACATTTTCTTTTATGGGATGTCGTTTATGTAAAGGGAAAGCAAGATTGGACCCAGCACTGAGCCCAGACGTACACCCCTAGGCAGACTTCTTTTTTCAGACTTTTCATTGCCCACATCGACCAGAAAAATCTGGCCTGTCAAATATGAGCTGCCCTGTCGGACAACATATGGTGGAAAGCCATAAACTATTAGCTCATAGAGAAGGCCTTCATGCCAAACGGTATCGATCTCTCGTACCTTCTCTACGTACAGCAACACTCCCGTATGCTTAGATTGATGACGTATGACATATTGATTTATAAATTTCTAATACGAACATAATTTCTGATTATTCAGAAATCGTGAGATGCGGTCTGGTGTGATGTAGGTTTCAGAAAAACATTTTCTTTATCGTGCCAACGTTTCGATCTTTATTGAGATCATCTTCAGGGCTCAAAGTGTTTGTTTTCTGTGTAATCACCACATATAATTTCTGATTTTTTTTTTTTGTATTTAACGATAAAATAATACAAGTTTCGGGATCGACATAATCGCAGGCATCGATTTGTAAATATGTTCATTCATGAAACATCGATACGTAAATATTTCATTGATATTCTTTAGTCTCAAACACAAAAGAAGCTTGCAGTTTGAAGTTTTATTTAATAGATATAATATACAATTTAGGTAAAGTGTACAGTACAGAGTGACCTTTTTAGATTAATTTCTCTTGAATATATAACTTTATTCAAAACCAAAAAATAAGTGTTTAAAGTTTTTTGGTCTAGTTTTAAATTTTGTCCATTTTTAAAAATACATGTTGTCAGGATACACCAGAGCCAGTACAAGTTTCAATTGTAACTGAGAATCTATGTTTTTTACTACTGTTTTAAAGGATTTGTCACTATGAAAACGATGGAGCAATTTGATCAAAAATACCGAAATTATTGAAAAAAATGCGAAAAGTAAAATCTCGATTTCGTTTTTACTGTTATTATCAAAAAGTGAATTTTTAATTTTGATAAAATTTTGTTCTTTGTTTTCAAACGTTTCATTGCTAACAATAATTCCACGTGAAAAATATAAAATAACAATGCATAGTAAGCATAAAGTAACAAATATTCGCAGCATAGGGTGCCAAAACGATGCAGTAGAAGATCGAATTTGTTTTTTACTCACCTTCAAGAAGGTCAGAAGAATTCAAGAATCAAAATTTCAATTATCCATTAAAAGAAGAAGAAGAATGAAAAGGAAAAAGAAAGAAGAAGAAGAAAAGAAGGAAAAAGAAAAGAATATGTTTTTATAGCTTTTTTTAAACCTTAACAACATTATAAGCTTACTTATTTAATCTTACCTGAGCCTAAAGGCGGTTTAATTTATAAAAATGCAGTAATAAAAAAATATATATTTAGGAAAAGCATCTCGGTATATTTTACGAAATCATACTACGATTCTATGTTATCTGGGTTTAATATAATTCTAGTCACAAAAATTTACAAATTTCCGGTAATAACATAAGGAATGTTTAATTTTTGTGAACCAGTCTGTAGTAAACAAATCAGAATGATTTCAAAATAACATAATTTCATGGGTTTTTACGAAATAAAACCTCGATTATAAAATAATTGTGTTTAAATCCCAGCGTTTTCATGGCAAAAATGATATTAGTATCATCATTCATGATCTTTTGCGTTAGTCATGAATACCCAGATTGTAAACCAAAACAGGACGACAATTATAAAGAGAAGTTTTATACATTTCCAAGACTCCATACCTCGATACGTTATCTGAGTAACACAATTTTATGGATAACGATTTATAAATGGCCAATAAATACATTAATAATGATAGCCTTTTATGACAACCACAACCGATTTGAACCAATTTTCAGTAAACAAATCAGAAAGATATTTCTAAATAAGACAATTTCATAGCTTTTACGAAATAATACCACGATTATAGGTTAACTGTGCTTAACAAAATCGCAGGCGTACAAAAATTATAATAATATATCTTTGATGAGCTCAGATCATCAACGGATCTGAACCATTCTGCTATAACCAAATCAGAAAGATATTTTTTGTATAAAATAATTTCGTAGTTTTTTTTTAATATAAAACCTCGATTATAAGTTATTTGGGTTTAACGAAACAATAACATCATTTATGAGCTCTGATCTTCAACCGATCTGAACCATTCTGCTATAACCAAATCAGAAAGATTTTTTTTTATAAAATAATTTCCAAATTCCGTTTTAAAAGAGATTGCTTAATATTTTAACTTACAGTCTATTCTCGTCATTCTTACTCATATTATCCTTCATGTTAATAATGATTATTAAGACTTTTGCCCATTTTACACAGGCCTTTTGCAAGCTTTGAGTTTACTATCTTTAAAATTTAAGACTTGGGACAAAGCAAATTTTTTTTTGGCAGGGGGTTGGACATACCCCTAAATCAGTCTATTATTTCTTACTGAAAAGTGTCTTTCGTAAAGCTGATATTCCTATGCAAATCAAAATTGAAAGGTCGTGCGGTCTTCATGTTAAAGATCATTAATACTTTTGCCCATTTTACGCAGGCCTTTTGCAAGTTTTGGGTTTACTGTCTTTAAAATTTATAATATATCATTGATGAGCTCAGATCATCAACCGATCTGCTATAACCAAATCGGAAAGATATTTTTTTTTATAAAATAATTTCCAAATTCCGTTTTAAAAGAGATTGCTTAATATTTTAACTTACAGTCTATTCTCGTCATTCTTACTCATATTATCCTTCATGTTAATAATCATTATTAAGACTTTTGCCCATTTTACGCTGGCCTTTTGCAAGTTTTGGGTTTACTGTCTTTAAAATTTATAATATATCATTGATGAGCTCAGATCATCAACGGATCTGAACCATTCTGCTATAACCAAATCAGAAAGATATATTTTTTATAAATAATTTCGTAGTTTTTTTTTAAATATAAAACCTCGAGTATAAGTGATTTGGTTTTAACGAAACAATAACATCATTTATGAGCTCTGATCTTCAACCCATCTGAACCATTCTGCTATAAACAATTTATAAAGATTTTTTTTTAATAAAATAATTTCGTAGTTTTTTTAAAATATAAAACCTCGATTATAAGTTATTTGGGTTTAACGAAACAATAACATCATTTATGAGCTCTGATCTTCAACCGATCTGTACCAATCTGTTATATTTAACTTTTAACTTCTAAACACCATATTTTCATAATATATACTTTTTATGAAATAATTCGACTAAAGGTTATATGTGTAACAAAATTTAATAAAATATAAAAAATTAT